CCACTTATACGTAATTATTGCTGAATTGTTTGTTTGTACAGGCACATAGCAAACCTTAACAGGTTAGATTAATCTTTCGGAACATAATATAGCAAGTTTTGAACTTAATTTCTTCTTAAATTTTGTATATATATACATACATGTACATGAACGATGGCGAAAAGAAAGACAATTATATAAAAATTTTTATTAATTCAATTTATATATCAAAATATTATTTTAATAAACATATTGTTAATTTATTTAAAAAAAATTTTTTTAAAAAATTTATCAATATATAGAAAGTAAATAATAAATAAATCAAGTAAGTAAAAAAAAAATATTATTTTATAAAAAAATCAATTAATAATTAATTGATTATATAAATTATATAATTATATAATTAATATTTTATTTTTAATAATAATATATATTTATTGTATTTATTTTTTAAAAAAAAAAATCATAAATAAATAAATGTATAAGCCATATGATTAATAAAATATAATTTTTATATAAAATTTTTAATTAAATAAAAATTTAATCAAAATATTAAAAATTTATAAATCTTTTGATTCATTAAGTATATTATATTATAAATAATAAAAATAATAATGATTTTTTTAATTAAAATATTAAAAAAATAAATAAACTTATATTTTAATATTGAAATTTTTAATAATATATGTTTATATTCTATATTAAGATATTAATTAAAATATTTTTATATAATTTGATTTGATATTTAAAAAAAAATTTTTTTTAAAAAATAATAATAAAATATAAAAATATTTTAACTTAAATAAATATTATATAAAATAATTTATTATAAAACAAGTTATATACAAAACTATATTATATAATAAACTTAATAATAAAAAAAACCTAACTTTATTATATAAATTATTGCTATTTAAAATTCAAGTTATTTTTAATATTTTTGAATTTTAAAATTCATACTATTTATTTATTAAATAAATAATAATTAATAAAGAAAATTTTATAAAAAAATTTTTTTTTTTTTGTATTTAATTTTAGATTATTTTATACAAAGCAAATGAACATATTTTAATTTATCTTTTATATTATAATATTTATTTTTATTTATTTTGTGAAATTTTCGTTTGTTATTAAAATTTATAATGCTTCAAAATAAAATACCAAAAAAAAAAAATAATTAAAAATTTTAAAAAAAATTTTTTTATAAAAAAAAATCGGTAATAATACATATTTTAGATTTTTATTTTTATAAATTTTTGCTTGTTAATCATTAGATATTCCGTTTAGATGAATATGATTTATTTTTAAAAATCACATTACCATTACTATTATTTTATCAATGCTTATTTAGAGTAAAAATGATTATACGATTTACTAACAAAAAAAAGAAAAAGCGTTGATAATTGACAAATTTTTTTAGTACTTTATGGCGATCAGGGTTAAACTTCGTTTAGCATATAAACTATAAATCAACAGGGAAATATAATCCTTTGACGACCTTCTCTTACTGTCGAAAAACCAGAACTCTGAGCTCCTGGAATTTTTCAAGGATGTCGGCAGCATGCAAGAACGCCACGTCTCCGCGTTAAACAAGATGACAATAAAAAAATTTATATCATATAAATGGAAATCAACATAAGATTCGAATTTTTTATTCGCGATATGCGCAAAAGTAGTTTCGAACGTTAATTTATGCAGAGCATTGCTTGCGATAAATTAGGTTAGATATACAGTAAACCTTAATGTCGCGTCGATGCATGAACTGTTGACCAATGGCATTTTTTATTGCAATTAATCCGTTCACTATGAATCTTTTAATTACTAATTACAAAATAATGTCATATACGTAATATGAGTTCATTCTAATTCATTTTTGGCTCGGTAAAGATTGAACCGTTCTCATGCATTTACTAGTGTAACCTTTTTGGGGTCTTCTTTGGGAAACAATATTAATACATAATTACATTACATAATTCAGGCATGACCACTCTCATGAACAATATGAGCTTGTTGGTGTACTAGGAACGATCATCGAATTTATAAACGCGATGTTTTTGAATGGTTGTCGTAATAATGATATAATAATGTTAAAGTCATTACGTCGTGTTTCTGTGATTACGAGTTCTTCAAAATTTGCTCAAATCAATAGACGTCTCTTGTCGAAATGGTCTCCCGCTACATTAGGCACCTTCAGGCTACCTGATATAGATAATGAGCCTATGGTATTGTATTCATTAACCATCCTTAAAATCCGAATTTCTTTCTTTATTGTAAATCCTTGGAATAGATATTCTTCATTTATTTTATTTTGATTTGATTTTGATTTGATTCGGGTCAGTAGAAAAGTTATCCACCGGCTAGCGAGGATCGTGTAAAGCTTCAAAATGCAATAAAGGAACTTATAAATGATGCGCCGGTCGAAATTCCCGTTTTCGTTAATGGAAAAATGGTAATCTGTAAATAATGATTATTTTCCTCATGGTTAATTATTTAAGCACCATGTTAAATTATTTGTCTGTCGTGATAGATTTACACTGGAAAGGTAGCAGAACAAAGAAATCCGTCAGATCATATTTCCATATTAGCGAAATATCACGAAGCCAATCCATCAGTTGTCGAAGAAGCCATCGAAGGGGCGCTGGCTATTAAGCCTATTTGGGAAGCTTATCCTATAGCCGATAGATCGGCTATCTTCTTGAAAGCTGCTGACTTGGCGGCTGGTAAATACCGTTACAAACTTTTGGCTGCTACAATGCTCGGACAAGGCAAGAATGCATGGTAAGTTGTAACAAAATTATCCCTAAAACTCATTAATAAATCTCCTTCTGTTTACAATTAGGCAAGCTGAAATTGACGCAGCAGCTGAAACGATAGACTTTTGGCGATTTAATGTAAAATACGCTCACGAAATGTACCAACAGCAACCCATCAAAAACTCTCCCGGAGTATGGAATCGAGTGGAATATCGTCCTCTGGATGGTTTTGTCTATGCTATTTCTCCATTCAACTTTACGGCTATTGGCGCTAATCTTCCAAGCGCCCCTGCGCTACTGGGCAATGTTGTTCTTCATAAACCTTCTGCTGGTGCCATCCTCTCCAATTGGGTTATCATGGAGATACTGAGAGAAGCAGGATTACCTGATGGCGTAATACAATTCATCCCTGGACCCGCTCAACAGATTACCGAACAAATATTAAAGTCACCGGACTTTACTTCGTTGCATTTTACCGGTTCCACGGAGGTGTTCAGGAAGCTATGGAAAGACATCGGGAATAACATTAATAATTACAAGTCATACCCAAGAATAGTTGGGGAAACCGGCGGAAAAAATTTTCACGTCATTCACGAATCAGCTAACGTGACGAACGCTGTGAATCAAACTATTCGCGGAGCTTTTGAATATCAAGGGCAGAAGTGTTCAGCTTGTTCGCGTGTATATGTCCCGGATAAGTTGTGGGAAGAATTCCGTAGTGATTTGCTTCAGAAACACGCCACAATTAATGTTGGCCCGGTAGATGGTGAGTTGTAATGAATTTTGTGTTCACCGATAACATAAACTACTGTTGTTCATTATTATGATCTTGTGAATCAGATTTTTCCAACTTTCTGGGACCTGTAATGTAAGTAAATAAATAATAAATAAATAAATAAATAAATAAACGGTTTAATATTCGAATGACTTAATCATCTTCACCAATAGCAACGCAAATGCATTTGAAAAAATAAAGTCTTATATCGAATGGGCCGAACAGGATTCAGAAAGTGAAATCTTGGCGGGAGGAACTTATGATGATTCCAAAGGGTATTTTGTACAGCCAACAATCATTGTGACCAAGAATCCCAAGAGCAGAACCATTGTTGAAGAGATTTTTGGGTATTATTTCATGTTAAATATTTTTCATAAGAAAAACAAATCATGATTATTATTAATAATTTATATTCGTATGTTATAGACCTGTACTGACAATTTATGTGTGAGTATTCTCATTATTTATTGTTTGTGTCAATGAAATAGTGTATTTTAATAAAGTTTTCTATCTTTTTTTTTTTTTTGACAGATATAAAACGGATGAATACGAACAGATATTAGACGTAGTAGACAAAACATCTAGTTATGCACTGACAGGATCCATGTGAGTAATTTTGATTTATAAAAACGACTTAGAATGTTGTTCTTTTTTTCTTGTATTTAATTTCTCATTTCGGCTTTTATACCTTTTTCTTATGAAGATTTGCACAAGACCGTGCCGCAATATTGCTAGCTCAAAGTAAATTACGTCATTCATCTGGCAATTTCTATATCAATGATAAGTCCACCGGTGCAATTGTAGGTCAGCAACCGTTTGGTGGTTCAAGAGCCTCTGGAACTAATGACAAAGCCGGGAGCATCAATTTGGTAATTATCGTCTTAATGAAATTATATTCATGATCTCATCTCCGGTTAGGATGTTTATTTATATTATCGACTTTTTTTTTTGTTACTTTTGAAAAGTTATATCGGTTTTCGTCAATGCGCACCATCAAAGAGAATTTCATCAACATCGATGATTATTATTATCCATCCAACCTAATTTAGAGGACTTCAAGATCTTGATTAAATATTTTCCAAAATAGTTCAATGAACATTCCTAATTAAAATTGGTTTCCTTGGAAAGATATATTTAATTTTGTTTTCCATACCACATAAAAATACCTTTAGATTGTTAAATGATGAGAAGCATCTAATTAAAACAATGTAATGATTACTATGAATCTATAAATCACTATTTTACATAATTTAACAGTTCATGTCAATGACCAATAAAATTTGATAGCTAATTCGAAGAGATTGTTTTAGCACCGATCACACCATTTGTCTCTTTGGCCAATGTCTTGAAAATTGGTTCTGAGCATAATGATTAAGAATTTAGTGATTAATATCCCATAAATACCTTTGTCATGTTCTATTGGCTCTTATGACAAATCTTTTTTTAGGCTTTATAAATTTAGCTGTGGCCGTTGTGATATCAACCTGAAAAGGCAAAGGTATGTCTAATGAATATTTATCCGGTGAGTATAGAATGAGTCGTAATGGTTCTATGTCTATTATGGTCTGCTGAAGAAATGTCTAGAAGGAGAAAAAAAAAAGAAAGCTTTTAGATACAAATCTTCAATTTTTATTTCATGAGATAATTTCCATAACTTACAGAATCCATGGAGGGAGTCTCGATAGAAATAATCAAATAATCCTGATTATCTTTACAATCATTAGCGATTATATACTCGGGTTGTTTTGCAGCAGTGGTTTTGACAGCCGATTTGGGGTCTACTTTATCATAAATCTTTTGTGTACTTGGTCGAGAAGGTATCTCAGTTATCAATAGGTCCTTTCTCTTAGGAATGACAACTGATCTTTCCTCTATGTTGCCCTTGTAATGCGATCTCGGATATACGAATGCTGAATAAAATCAAATGATAAAATAAATCAGTTTATTCAAACAAGAGAGCTCATGATTTCATGACTTTGTTAGACCTACGCCGTTTCAGTTGAAGATCATATTGTTCTTCTACCATTTCTGCAGCCAATTCTGTAATATACAATTTAAAGTCCGAGTCTTTTTTCGTTCTTTTATAAGGTACTGTGTGTATTATAACGTCACATACAAGGCAGGTATTTTCCTCTTCATTGAATAAAACGATAAAAGGTTTGTTAAGTTGAACTAAATTCCTCATTGAGTCTCGATATTATACAATTCGAGCCAAACCTTTGTCCTTATCTTCCCGCAATTCACCCAAGACGGCTGGGACATTATAAGTCGCATCCGCTTCAGCGTTCATTGACTTCCTTATCTCAGTTTCGTCTGCATCAGGGGGGCAAGGAATCAAATCCGAATAACATACATTGATAAAAAATTTCGTGTCTTGTTGATGATGCTTATAAATTTTTCTGGTAAATGTCTTGGCCACGAATCCTGGGTTAGGAGTTAATTTAATTGTCTCAGATTCTGACTCTTTATCACTTGTTGACATTAAAAGTTGATTCGCTAGAGCAGCCATTGCCTGTGGATTTTCCGCAACTTGCGCAGTAAGTTCATCCATAAATATCTCCTCTGTCGCCTCGTCATCTTTTCCTAGATTAAACATAGACGTCAAACTATTCAGAGGTTTATCATCGAAATCCAATTTCGTGTACGCCATGGTTAAAAGAAAGAAACAGGCAATCTATGAAATTTCCGATGATCTTTTTTTATACAAGTATATCACGTGAATAACATGACAGGAAATCAAGTGATCTAAAATAACGACAAAAAAATCTCGTCTCGGAACCAATCGTGTTTGTTTAAAAGAAAAATACAGTAAAAAACAAAATTTTCGTAATTCAACTTTTCTTTGTATATACAAGAAACAAATATATTCAAAAAAAAATGAACTGAATTATCAGAGACAACACACACATTCAACCAACAATTTTTATAAGTAACTTATGTTGAATTGGATTTGTAAGAATTTGGCTTGATATCTTTATAGCGCTCTTTCACAAGCAAAATATTAAAGAAACTTCTACGTATAAAAAAAAATTTTTTTAGGATGATCACATTATTTACATATATACTAGCTGGATTAATCAATTATTTACAGTGTATGGTGCGGGCCATCTAGTCACATCAAATCTGTGCCACTTTGTACTATTTTAGTAATTTAAGGGATTATACTATTTAAGTAATTTTGATGAGTATTAATAAAAAAGTGTTTTAAACGAAATTCCTTTTTAAAATTAGATAATCTTATAACTAATCATATGATTTATTTGCCACAGTATTAATAATTATAGTTAGTTACATAATTTACTTGCCACAATATCGTTAATCATTTATATAAT